GGCCGAGCTGTGTACGAGCTTCGTCTCGTCCAGCTGGTCTACGGTTCCAGGCTGTCTTGGTGGATGTAATTACGGACACAGTTTACTGTGTGTCCCCTCCAGTAATTCCACCCACCTGGACAGTCACTACCGTAGACCAGCTAGACAAGACCAAGTTTCCATTCAGCAAGGTCACTGAGGGTGGCAACCGCTGACTCTGGGAAGGGGGGAGGGAGTCCACTCAGTGACACAAGTGGATTCCTGGAGACACTGATCCGGGGAAGGCACCGCCGACCTTAGGTAAGTGGGGAAGGGAACATCCGGGGAGCGAACGGATGGAATTCCTGGATACATGAGTTTGGGGGAAGGTTTGTAGTTGAGGTGTCAGCATAGTTGCTGATCCTGTATTCCCAGTATTATATAGCATAGCATATTAGTATCATCCCTGTGCTTTAGACACGAGATCCCTCGTAGGCCTTTGGCTTTGTGGACGTCATAGGGATACACATGGCAGTGATCCCTCTGTCCCGTCCTCACTCGGCGGCAGACCATACAGGCGTAGACAGGAAAGGCACTGGGGCTCCATCCCTCATCTCAGTCTGACAATATATTTACCATCCTACAAGTGTGTCAACTTTCAACCTACGATATCTCCATTTAAGAACCCTTACGATAATGGTGACAGCGGTGAGCCTGTAATTCTGACGATTACAGCGATTTCGGAGAAAAAGTTGTCGACCAGCAAGACGGCCTTTTCGTGTTACCAGTAGGCCTACCGACTACCGAGATTCACCCAGCCACTACCTCAAGCCAGCTACTCTACCAGCTTCTACATTATTCACTGGTCAGTCTCTTTGTATTAGTGTTTCCTGCTTTTTGCATTACTCCCGAGGGTTGACCCGAGTTTGCAAAATAACCCAGCTTCCAGTCTGTGGTGGGGGAGTCAGAACACCCGAGTCCGGGTCCAGCCTACCTACTCCATCCAATTATTTTGCCTGCAAGCCAGCTTCCACCCTGCTGTGCCCTCGTGTGAAGTTATCAAGCCATTCTGTGTGAAGGGTTAAGATAAGCCAGCTAGCAACAAAACCCAGGTGTCTTACTCCAGTACTCAAGCAACCCACATGAGTAGCCTTCATCGCTTGTGATTCAAGTTCCAAGCATTCTGAGTGCTCCTTGTCATCCTTGTGGTGTTGTAGTATTTCGGGGGTTTTATTCTAACCCAGCCGGGCTTAGAATTATCTTCGCGGCAGTGTGGGTTTTCTCAGTGAGGCTTACGACGTTCAACCCATAACCCAGCCACTCACGATCACGTGTGTCGCACCATTCCCGGTCTCAGACGCCTCGCTCAGCCATTACCCAAAAACCCCAAAACTACAGTCGGCCATTACAACTCACCTACCTCATCAGTGTTTTGGTGTACTGCTAAGGGTTGTAGCACCATATTTTAAGGACCACATAGGGGTCAAGAGCTAGAGAGTGGCGCGCCAATCTTTAAAAGCCTCCTGTGTGTTGTCTCTCGCCGATTTAAGCGCAATTCTACGATCATCTGTGCAGAGGACAGCAGCAGACGATATAAACAATCCATCAATCTCATTTTTTTCAAGTGTTACGCTATAATTTTTTTTTTTTAAAGGGGACATTTGCGAGTGTTGAGACATTTCTTTTGGTGTTCCCAGTGAATTTTTCTCTTAGTGACATTCAGTGACTCTTGATCAACTCAGTGTTTATCATGTATTTGATTGCATTCATTTCTTTTAATCTCCTTAATTCAGTGTTAATTTTCGTGCATTTTTTTATATCTGTTGTGTTGTGTATCTTTTTATACACTTGAAGTAAGTACTTAGTGTTTCCTTTGTTGTGTGTGCACATATGAGCAATATAGAACTTGTGTTTAAACTTCAGAATTCCAGTGTATTAACTCAGTAAATTTTTAAACCTCATATTCTGCATCACAACTCAGTGTTGTCTGTTATTTTTTTTTTTCCCAGCATTTGGTAATTTTATTTTTTGTTCCCTGTTTTGTTAACATTCTTGTGTTCATATTCCTTTTTTCAGCCAGGGGTTAATTTGTCTTATTTCCACAGACAATAGTGCCATTTTTTAAGTCCCAGCAAGAACTCATATTACAAAATTTTTCACACATCAAGTTTCATTGCAAGAAAATTCAGTACTGTGTTTATGTTGATGTGTTGTGTCCTGCATCTCTGTAAGTGTTGTATTCCTTTTTGTTGTGTGTTTTTTTTGCACCTATTATTTTTTTTCATGTTTTATTGAACAAATTCACTCTTAGTGCAATTTTTAAGTTCCCCTTCTAAAGAAAATTTGTTCTTTTGCTTGTTGTTTAAGTGCAGTTAAGAGTTAAAGTGTTCATTCCTTGATATATTTTTTCTTGTGTGTTATAATTTTTATTATTGACATTGACTCATTTTGCAATAATTCTGTGCAAATATTGTGTTGCTATTAAAGTTTTTCTTGCAGAAAATTTTATGCAGTGTTTGTGCAATACAGTTTATTACAGTGCAGTTTCTTATCTCTGTTTTTGTCCATAGTATTTTATTCTGTCTGTCATTTTATTTTTTTTTTTTAATTTCAGTGAATTGTGTGTTTGTTTTAATTTTTGCACAAGTTTATTGAGTCCATTTTATTATTTTATTGTGTATTTTCCTTGTTGCATTGAAAGTAAAGACAACTCACTGTGCCATTTATCAATTTAAAGTAAAAGTTGAGATATTAGATTTGAGGGAAAGTACAAGTTCTCTTGATTTTCACTGTTTTTAAGTTGCATATTATTCTTGTGTGAGTTTCTTTGCTTACTGTTAACTTGTCAAATTTTTTAAATTAAATTATGCAGAATAGTTAAGCATTTTTTTCCATTTAAGCTTATTGTGTCATTCTCTCCCAAATTTTTTTGACTTATGCCCTTCAGTATTTTCACTGAGAAGATGTCCCAGTCACTTTTGAACGTTCACTTAGTGTATCATTCCAGTCAAAGTCAATATGAATCAGTCCACAGTACCAACATTCCCTTACTGACTGAAAGACAATATCTAGCCCTTGAGCAATGTCTTTGTTCTCACAGCTTTATCTGAGATTTGTTTAAAGTGCTGCGAAATGTGAAGTTCAGATTAAGTTCCTATAGATCCGTGAATTACTTATTAAGTAGCCGAGCGGTCAGGCACTAGTAATTCTGTCATTCCGTCTGTGTTCCACCTATACCTTCAGACTTGCAGGATAGTGTTTTCCCTTGCCTCAAGTGTCCGGGACACTCAGACTGCCTTGAGTGCACAGCCTATCCCTGCAATGACTGCTAGTTCGAGTAATATTTCTCCACAGGGGATGCCTTGTCAGAAAACGATTACTTGCAACTAGTAATTTCCCTCTCTTGTTGATGTGACATGCTGTCTGCAGAAAGACGTCTCTGTTTACAGCTAGTGTTCTCACTAGAGTGTCTGTTGTTGTTCCTAATGTTCCAGATGGTGATCCCATCCTAGTTGACAGTAATCAGTGCATTGTAAGAAGTTATTTCTCGAGTAACTTTCACATGTTAACGTTTGTAAGTGTAGTTTCTTTATAGCTGATACCTCGTGTCACTGTGTGCGACTCAGATTGAATATCAGCATTGTTCACCGTGTTTCATTTCTTTTCTCCTGTGCTTGCAGTTTAGATAGTAGATTCATTCTCCCTTGCTCATATTGCGTGTTATAGCGTTAATTTTTTTTCAACCGGGGGAGTCATCCACTCCACCGAGTTTGTTCTTTCCTCCAGTAAGGAAGAACTGTTACCTTTATTCCAGAAAAAAACAGCCTACTGGAAGGTTAGCCAGATGGACCTTGACTATCCAAGAGTTTTAAACCCACTTTTGAAAATTTACCGGCAAGTCGAATGTAGTCGCAGATTTCTTTATCGCGACACGTTTGTAGTTACTGCAGATCCTCCATTTACTGTCGAGGATGTCCAAAATGCCCAAAGAACCGATCCCTTGCGTTCTGGTGTGATTCGATCCTGCTCCAGGAAGATCTTTTTCTTTCTGTGAAGCCACCAGCATCCATTAGTGACTTTGTAATGAGCCAAGAATTACTGTATCGAATAGTCGATTGAGTAAATCCTAGCAGATGAATTAGTAATTCCACAGTCACTAGTGATTGTAGTTGTATCTTTTGTAAATACTCGTTCAGCCTCTCTCAGTCAAGGCATGTTTAGCCATTGCGAGAATTTCGATCCTCCCAGAGAAGATAACCATTCTGCATATGTAAACCTTACCCTCGCAGAATTGGGTTTAAATGTCAAGTCTGTATAATTAGATGTCCGAGATGATGAATTTGTCAATTGGGGTGTTTTATTATTAGCTGATCAGTTTGTCAGAAATTTTTCGTGTTCACGTTCCCTCCGTTTCGAGAATTAACAGTCTAGATTTGAGTGCCCCCGAATCTGTCTTTCTGTTAAACACTTCCTTGTAAAATAATTATTCTTCCTCAAAATCCGTAGTGCATAATACAGATCGATCGATCAATTCCATCCAAAATTTTATAATGATTTGTTCTTATAGTTTGTAATGATTACGTTAACACCCATTACGTCAAAATCATGTTGTACCATCCATTAGTTCTAAGTTATATATGAATTTGTTATTGTATAGAATCAGCCCAGATCCGCCTGCCTGTTCAGCCTATAGTATAGTAGTGTATGTCGGGACGACATACGTAACATGACCGAGCTGTCAGCATAGTTGCTGATCCCTGTATTCCCAGTATTATATAGCATAGCATATTAGTATCATCCCTGTGCTTTAGACACGAGATCCCTCGTAGGCCTTTGGCTTTGTGTGACGTCATAGGGATACACATGGGCAGTGATCCCTCTGTCCCGTCCTCACTCGGCGGCAGACCATACAGGCGTAGACAGGCAAGGCAGCTGGGGCTCCATCCCTCATCTCAGTCTGACAATATATTTACCATCCTACAAGTGTGTCTACTTTCAACCTACGATATCTCCATTTAAGAACCCTTACGATAGAGGCTGAC